CCCCCCCCGGGCACGGGGGCTGCGGGCGCTTTGCCCTCCCGGGACACCGACGGGCGCCCCCAGCGCGGGTCCCCGGTGCCCGTCCCGGCTCCCGGTGCCCGTCCCGGTGCCAATGGCGGCGCCATCCCGGTGCCCGTCCTGGCACGGCGGGCTTGGCACAGAGCGGCGCCGGGCGCGTGCGTTGGCACCGGGCGCCGCTTTGTGCGAGCGAGGCCGACCGGGGACGCCCCGGCTCGGGCTGGGGGTGCCGGGGACGCCCCGGTTTGGACCGGGGGGGGGCTCGGCTCGGCCTCGTGGACCCCTCAGTGAAAGACCCGCGCATCGAACGGGCACCATCCCCAAAAATCTGCGCTCCAGCTTCCGCACTCACCTGGCGCGTGGACGAAATACGCCAGGTACAGGTCGAGCTCCTTGATGGTGACGCCGATGTGGTGGGGCTGCACGCAGAGGCCGGGGCTGGCGCACTGGGGCGCCTTGGCCAGGCGCTCGCCGTCGGTGCTCTCCAGCGGCACGCCCTTGAACAGGATGACCATCACCAGGTCCAGCCGCCACACCTTGTCGGCCTGGCGCAGGCAGTCGATGCGGCGGATCTTGCCCTTCTGGTCGGGGTTGGAGAGGACGCAGCACGGCGCCTTCTTGCCGGTGACGGACAGCACGAAGTCCTCGCGGCACTCGGGCCGGATGTCCTTGCGCAGCTTGGCCAGGAGGCGCGACGCCCATTTCTGCTTGACCTCCGGCTTCTCGCCCAGCAGCTCGTCCTTGACGGCGCGTTCCTCCTCCTTGGACATCCGCTTCTCGTGCTTCTTGAAGTACTTGCGCTTGCGGGCCTGGAGGTTGAACCAGGTGTAGGAGAAGGCCCGGACGTGGGGCAGCAGCGCCTCGATGAAGGGGTGGAACTCATCCTGCACGGGAGGGAGGGCACAGCAACGGGCTAGGGGTGGTGGCCGTGGGGTGGCCGGCGGGGACAGAGCCACGCAGGTCTGTTCCATGCCCGTTCCCAGCCCCATCCTCAGCCCCTGGGGACCAGAGATCTGGCACCAAGAAGGACCCCGGTAGCCCCAAGAGGGACCCCGGTAGCCCCAGGAGAGACCCCGGTAGCCTCAGCTCCATGGGGGATCCCGGCAGTCCCGACCGTGCCGGTTCCCGGTGCCCGGGGAAGAGGCGGCTCCCGGTGCTGCGGGGCTCCCGTGTGGCCGGAGCAGGGACGGCTGAGCCTGTCCCAGTCGCCGGTGTCACCACAGCCCTGTCCCCGGTACCGGCACAGCTCCGTGCCCGGTGTCCCCAGCACAGCTTCGTCCCCAGTGTCACCGCAGCTCCGTTCCCGGTGTCACCCCGGTGCTGGCACTGCCTCATCCCCGGTGTGGCCACAGCCCCATCCCCGGTGTCACGACAGCCCCGACCCTCATGTCACCGCATCCCCGGTGTCGCTGCAGCCTCGTCCACGGTGCCACCACGAGCCCATGCCCGGTACGAGCACGGCCCCATCCCCGCTGCCACCACAGCCGTGTCTCGGGGACTGCCCGGTCCCCGTGTCACCACAGCTCCGTCCCTCCCCTCTCGGCCCCATCCGGTTCCCGGTGACACTCCCGTTGCTGTCGGGGCTCGGCCGCTCCGGTCCCTGCTGCCAACCCCGGTGCCACCAATCTCGCTCCCCAGCAGTCCCCGGTGCCACCTCCGTCCCCTGTCTCCCCATCCCTTCTCTCCGCTCCCCGCTCGCCGCTCCCCGGTACCGCCGCTCCCCGGCCCCATCCCGGCCGCTGTCGCAGTCCCCGGTGCCAGTCCCCGGTCCCCGGTCCCCGGCCCGGCCCCGCCGCTCCCGGCCCGTCCCGTCCGTACCATCGCGGCGGCTCATCCCGGCCGTAGGCAGCTGCCAGTCGGGCCCCGGCGGGGCAGAACCGGGGGGCGACAGACGGGGACGGGGAGAGGCGCAGAGGGAAAGAATTAACGGGGAACTACCGGGAATGGAGTGGGGGGCGGGTCCGGGGGGTGCGGACCCTGCGGGGGGAACGCTCCGGTACCGGGGATCGCGGTTACCGCGGGATGCAGGAGCGGATGGGGGGGAAGTCCCGGCTGGCGGAACAGCGCAGCTACCGGGGAGGGGGGTCCCGGTTACCGGGGATCCCGGTGAGGGGGGGTCCCTACCGGGGG